AGTTCAACAGTTATGCTAGTGAGTGATGTATGTAATATTTTAAAGTTTAGTGGCCAAAACTCGATATTTTAAACTTTAGTGAGCAATTGAAATACATTAACCTAAGTTTAGTGACCAAAACTTGACTTTTTCAAAGTTCAGTGATCAAAACTTGACATTTTAAAGTTCAGTGATCAATTAAAGACATAGACCTAAGTTCAGTGATCAAAACTTGACATTTTTCAAAATTCAGCAACCAAAACTCGTCATTTTAAAGTTCAGTGGTCAATTAAAGATATGGAACTAAGTTCAGTGACCATTGGAACAATTAACTCATTATCTGCCGTATGTATATAAAATTCTTGTTTGTTCTCTACCTCCACTTGACACTTATATATCCACATCCTTATGACATAATCTAATAGAGTTTGCTAGGGTATAGAAGTGGGAGGCATACACTACAAGATATTATATAAGAATAGGGTAAGTAAAGAGTTTTCTATTAAAAGTGGGCCGTGAAATCTCAAATCAAAGTATACTTTTAGCTTCCGTTCGGCTCCGATTAAATTATATTTCATTTTTCTCTCTCCTATTTTCAATCACAGAATCTTCTATAAAATAATATTGCACGTAAATCGAAAACTTTTCCTTTTTTTTTCAACCACTCATTTTTTTATAAAAAAACACTATCCCACCCATTTCCATTTCAAAAAATAGAGTCAAATAGGGGCTTAATTAAAATAAGATCTTCGGTCAAATAAAAGATAAGTTTGTATTTATCTAACACACTGCACGTGTGCATATCAATTAGGGCTGGACATAGTTCAGTTCGGTTCGGTTCTAACGAGAACCGAACCGACCCGAAATTTTCGGGTATTTAGTAAGTGGAACCGTCGGGTTCAAATTTAATTACGGAACCGTTCGGGTTCGGTTCCATTCGGTTCGGTTCGGTCCGGTTCGATTCCATTCGGTTCCGTATTATAATTAAATTTTTTAATATGTACAAATTTAATTAATAATATATTTAATATTAGTTGTTACAAAATAACATAGTTCAATCTTATGTGTTTCACGTCTCTCTTTGCTGAATTCTTCATAAATTTGATTATTAAAATCACAGAACGAGAAAGATAGGGAGCTTAAAATAATTAAAAGAGATGTTGTAGAATTTTAATTAGACTTTCTCCGATAGAAACGACACTATAGTAGAATAACAAATTTGGATAAAATTGAGGTCAATTTGATTAAATCGATTTTGAATTGAATATTAGAAATAGGAAAATCATATTTTGTGGTTTGAACTAAATTAACTAGTTAACATATTTATTTAGAAAAAATAAAATAATTTTACTTATTTTAAATAAATTAATTAAAAAAATTACGGAGATTCGGTTCTTATTCGGTTCTTCGGGTCTTGGCCTAGAACCGAGAACCGAACCATACCCGTCGGTTCCTGATTCAAATACCCGTTCGGGTATTTAACTTGAGAAGAACCGTCGGGTTCGGTTCTGTTCGGTTCGATCGGTTCGATTCGGGAGTTTTGTCCAGCCCTAATATCAATCAAGAAATTAATAAACAAACCTAAATAAATTTCTAATTAATGACAACTTCTACATACGGCCACATCTTGAATCTAAGTTATACATGATTAATTGTGAGCTACCCAATGAGTCCCATATTAATATACAAAATATCGCTCTAACAAAATTAAATTAGTTGGCCCAAAATAATATTGAGTTCAATATATTGCACTTTAGCCTCTCAACTTTCAAAATATGAAAATATAGTATATAAAATAATTAACTATAGTATGTGAAAATTTTCGAGACTTTACAAGATCACCAAGATGAAAAAATAAAAATAGGCAGTGGCAGGAAAGAGATGGAAAGATGGACCATGATATGGGCAAGCTCGCCAACTAGAAATTGCCTAGTAGTTGGACGCCCCCCCTGGGCTGGGTTGGTTATGCTGAATATGGATACCTTAGTTCACAAGGTTGTTGGACATTTTGGCGTCGGAATTATCCTTGGGTGATATACTTGCAGTCCAATAGTAAAGAATCGTGTAACAACTCACGGATAAAAATTTGACAAATCGAATTGAAAGTTATTAATGTTTTCGTACATCCTTTTAATTTGACACAGACATCCGGCCAATAGGGCGCGTCACATCACCCCCTAGTTGGACATGAAGTTATCCAAGAAGAAAAACTAAGGAATAAATTATCCACATGTTAATATCATTTGCTGCTTGAGAGAAAATTTACTAGATGAATAAAGCCATTTGTTTAGGGTTAAAAACAGTGGACATAAAGATACAGATTGATGTGTTAGAAAATAATTGAATGTTTTTGTTTTAATTTTTTCAAATTGTTCAACCATGCGTCGACACGTGTTCATCTGAATTTGAGTCATGATTTGAACCTTAATATGTAGCATGATTGTTATTAGATAGACAAATTGTACGCCTTTGCTTACTTTGTTGTTGTCTTTGATGACTTGATTGATAAAAATTCTCATTTTTCTTTAAAAATTTTGAAAAAACTGATGTAAGTTGTCCATGTTAAGTTAATTCACTAATTATAATTCAAATTTTAATCTAAATCAGAATCAACAATTACTTTTAATCATATATTTTATGGATCCTAAAATTTTTTATTCATATATTTCATCAATTTCTATCAAAATCTATTAAAAATTTAATTTTATTCCCCACAAAATAGAGGAAGTAAATGGGTAAAACATTTCTATTATGCTATATCATTATCAAACTTGCTATTCGTACAGAACTGGATGACAGAAGTGCATGACAGAACGACATGGAAAATGAGGGAAAAAAAAAAGAAAAGGAAAGACAACGCTCAAGTGAACACAACCCGGCCCTTTTTTCATTCCCGCTCAAAGGCAACCCGAACCCTTGGAAGGCGACGGCGAGCGACGGCGAATCGTCAGCGACGACGGCGAACCAACGAAAGGCGAGCAACTCCGTAACTCAGTTTTGACGAAAAGTAAGTATTTCAGTGGAGAGCTCACTGACGGAGAAGGAACCACGGCTGTAGGAGACTTGGTAGAGGCATTGTTGATGTTTATTGCAGCCTGGGGAGTGGAGTCGCCGGCAGAGGGGAGAATCCATGAAAGGCAGATGATTTTGTAGGCTACAAAACCGAGTCAGACTGGGCGTAGCACTTCTGCTCGGGAGGGTTGGATTCTGGGGTTGAATTGAAGAGGTGTTCTGGGGTGGAATTGGGCATTGTGATGGCTTGAATTTATCACATTGACCACTACAATGGGTTGAATTGAAGAGGTATCCTGGGGTGGAATTGGTCATTGTGATGGCTTGAATTTATCACATTGCCCACTAAAATGGCTTGAATTGAAGAGGTATTCTGGGATGCAATTGACCATTGTGATGGCTTGAATTTATCATATTGACCATTACAATGGCTTGAATTGAAGAGGGGGTTGAACGGACCATTACAATGGCCTGAAATGAAGAGGGATGCAGGGGTTGAATTGAAAGCCGACGGAGAAAGATTATCCACATGGTGCAATTCACATTATGCAAATCTACTTGTGAAGTGGTAGTTTATTGACCATTATGATGGGTTAATATGGGTAGTTTATGATCAATGATTGTACAATTCTACTGACTTGCAGTAAATTGAGATGGCTTATGAAGTAGTTTATGAAGTGGTTGCTTATAGTTTATGACCAATGATTGTATAATTCTACTGGTTTATAGTTTATGAAGTGGTAGTTTATTGACCATTATGATGGTTTCATATGCACTTCAAGATGTCAAAGCACATAAATTTCTTTAAATAGTAGAAGCCATGAATCTGATATATAGTAGCATTGAAATAAAGATAGACATGAAGCTGCTTGGTAGGATTAAATTCACTGAATGATGCTGGAATTTTTGCAATTAATGGTATCCATAAATGCCGTATCTATCATTCACTCCAGGCACCAAAAAATTTGCAATTAATAATAAAAGACAAAAGACACAGACCCGACCATATACAAAAGACACTGTCCAATACATTTTCATCCTGCTTCCAAATACAAAAGACACAGAGCACTACAACTTTGTGGGCATCATCTGGTCCATTAGTGCAAGTACTATAGCCAATATTAAGCAATCATTGGTTTCCTCCATCTCGGTCCGGTAAGCTTGGGTAAAAGTATGGCACTGCTTGAAAATCTGTACAATCCGTTCATAAATGCCCGAACAAGAAATAAAATGGATGATGCACTTTATATGTAGAATGTTTAGCCGCATAATTACCTTGACCATGGAAGTGAACATGATTGCTAGACGGAGGTATTAAATTTTGTTGTGTGAATGCAAGACTTTGATTGTCACCCTACATAAACAAATTTTGTTTGTGATAAATATGTTATTATTGAGATAATTTCATCATATACATATACTAACCAATAGGAGTTGCGTATATGTTAACGGTGTAGCCATGCAATATTGTGAATGTTGAGGTACTTGAACGACATCCGCATCGACGCCAACATTACTTGGCCGTGCCTTCGGCCTATTTCCTTTGGATGTAATCAAACTTCCCTGCATGACATCCCAACACGTTAGTTATATCTAGAAAGTAAACAACCCACACGCAATTGGTAATATAAATGTGAAATGTACCTTTGCTTTATTCGAACTAGATTCCAACGGGCTCTTTTTACGAAGTTTCTTTGGCGCCCCCTTTACTTAGGATCAAGTAATCCACTATTGGTAGCTTCTAGTGATGATCCACATTGTGAGGCGATTGGTGTACCATGCGAAGATATGACATTACTCACAACATTGGATTTCGATGCTTTTACCGGTTTACATTCATGTTCGATCCATTTTTGTAAGGTTTCAGCTCTGCTTTCATCATCTGCAACTAGGTCCGCTAATGTAGCGAAAGACTGACACAGTTTGTCATACCTCAACTGTCCCGGAGTACTAGTCAAACCATCATAATTAATTGCGACCCTCGTGTGGGCTCTACTTACATCTCTCCGCTACCTCCGTAATATATACCTCTCCGGTAGTTGTTTGACATCATTACGGATCAATACTGCAATCATATGCCTGCATATTATGCCTCGAAATTCGAATAAGTGGCAACTGCAAACAGTTTCATAGTCTTCCTTCTGAAAAGAGACGACAAATGTTTTTTTCTTTGATCGCTCATCATTTATCTCTTCCTCGCATATCTCATATGTTGTCCCCAAACTTCCCTCTGAAGTAGATATTAAGTCACAATAAAGCTTCCCGGTGAACTCTTCTTGAACTTCTCGAAACTTTGAAATGGTATAAACGGCTTGAAATTGTTTCTCCATTTCATACCTCGTTGCACATGGTACCATTTGTGAGAAAGATTTGAAATCTGCTTGAATTTCCTTCTCAACTTTACTCCTCAAAGCTCGTTCATATTGTTCGACAAATTACTTTAACGAAGTCTTTGCATGTACATACCCATCAAAGAACGCGTTCATACTTTCACTGCGTTGAGTTGTCGACATCCCTGCCCAAAAACTGGTTTTGAAATAACATGGAACCCACCGAGATCTATTCTCATAAAGCCCCGACAACCAGGTATTATTATGCAAATCATATGTGTCGATCATTACCCTCCAACCTTCTTCAAAATTTTGAATAAATTGTGAATCGTAAACTAAATTGTGTATAGTATGGAAAATCGAACCTTTATCGACGTGATATCCAAACTTTTCTGGTAATTTTTTCAATATGTGCCACAAACACCATCTATGCTTCATATAAGGAAACACGATTTCAATTGCATTCTGCATAGCCCTATCTTGATCGGTAATTATACCCTGGGGGGCTTCACCATGCATACACTGCAACCATGTCCTAAATAGCCAAACAAATGTATCTGTATCTTCATTCGATAGAAGCCCACATCCGAGCAAGGTCAATTGTCCGTGATGATTAATACCAACAAAAGGAGCGAACGGCATGTCATACTTATTGGTGAGGTACGTGGTGTCGAATGTGACAACATCACCAAACTCCTTATAAGCTTGTCTGCTCCTGTTATCTGCCCAAAACACATTTTTTAGTCTCGAATCTTCATCCAAATCCATACTAAAATAAAGCCCGGAGCAAGTAGCTTGCATTTTCGAAAAGTAGGATTGTATTGCTACGGCGTCTCCTTCTCCAAGTCTTAGACGCCGAACTTGTTCAACATAATTTCGACAATCTTTTTCCACGCATGTCATATTTTCGTATCCACCTACTTCGATTACTGTAGAGTTGAAACTTTTGTGTAAGGGAATTCCTGCCATGTCATTAACTTCTAGCCGTCGTTTAACATGTGTGCTCAACTCTCGATTGCATCGATATAGCCTCGACTTTGATGGACTGGTTTTATGATTATGGTCGAGGTTTAATATGTTGATTCTCCATATTCCACGACTATCCATAGATGCAGTCAATCTCACTTTACAACCTGTTTAAATTGTTGGTTGCGGTTTCAAAGAACTGCTTGTAGTACTGCTTCGTTTTCCTTCACGACTACATGTCAATGTGGCATATCTCACAACACCGTCGTCATCCTTTTTAGAATTTCTTTTTCTAACTGGAAAACCTTCAGCGTATGCATATTTTTTGTAGTAATCAAACAATTCATTTTCGTCATTAAATTTCATACCAACCTCCGGCATTCGCGCACCATCTCGTCCTACGATTTCATCACCCAATAAGTTCACATTCCCCACAACATTCTCGGACTCGGCTTCTACCACAATAATGTCATCCACGTCATCCAAAATATCTTTATCTGTAACATAAAATCAGTTACAATGTTAACATAGTAGCTCACAATCTTCAGATAACATAGCAGCATGTTAGGATAAAATAGTACATGAACATTTTTGCTAAAATTTATTCACCATGAAAGTCAATGTTTTAGGAGCTATGTAAAATAGAAGGGTTTGCATGTTGCATTAAAATGGCAAGCAAATATAGAAACACTTCAACATTTGAACTACTTGGCACCTAGTAAAGCTCACAATCTTGAGATAACATGGCAGCATGATAGGAGAAAATAATACTTGCACATTTTAGCACAAATTTATCCACCATAAAAGTTCATGTTTTAGGAGCTATGCAAAAAGGATTTGTAAGCCACATTTCCTTCTATTTTAACTGATCAATAGAGAAGTCAAACCGTAAAAAAAAAAAAAAAAAAATGGCGTTAAACAAACTACCCATTACCTTTGTCAGTCATCTCTTTGATTAACTCGGAAAACAGCGCTGGAGCAAATGGACCATGTCAAATGGTCGATTGTGGTGGAAATAATTTGGGGAAAATTTTTCTTTTCCCGCTTCTCAGTAAGATGAAGGAAATGGAGGCAACAACTTCCAAGAAAAGGCTAATGGACCATGTAAAATGAGAGACTAATGGGCCCCCAAGCCATCCGGTTTTGAAATGGCAAGCAAATAGGGCCGTTAGATTTTTTAATTCAAAAATTCCAGCTCCTTCTGTCATGTACCGTGTCAACCTGCAGGTACAACCAGCATTTTTCTTACATGAAATGGGAATAAGTAAATTCGATAATTATAAATTAATATATGGAAATTAGACAACCTAACAACCACATATGGTGTCATATAGCCAACCAATCGGGGTACTTTTAAAAATAACCTAGTCAAATCACCAAAATTCCATATTGACTTTTCAAAACTTAAATATTATCACTTTGGCCTATTGAACATTGAAAGACAAAAATACCCTTAATTATATTATACAATTACCAAATCTTATTTTGTTTAAAAGACATTATTACCCTTTTAGTTAATAATTGAAAATCAAATAATTTCCACTTAAAATTTAAAAATTAGCTTTTAACACAGATAAAAATTCTCATTTTTCATCTGCTTCAACCTCAAAATCTAAAAAAAAATTCCAACACTGAAAACGAATTTTTTTTATATCAATCACTTCAGATCAATAAGTATATTTACGCATGTTTAATTTCGTTTCGGTAAATTAGTGTACGTTTTAATCGATAAATTTTATTTTGATATAGTATTTAACGCAGATAATTTTTTTATTAGATCTATAATTTTTTTAGAAGCATAGAACAAAAAAAATCATCTTTATTTTTATCAAACGGACGTTTAAACAGCCGGCCGACGTTTTAAGCAGCCGGCCGACTGTTAAACAGTCTTAACAGTCGACTGTTTAACAGTCGACTGTTTAACAGTCGACTGTTAAAAGCCAACTGTTTTTAGGCTGTTTCAACTGCTTTAATGTCAATTTTTTTGATAATTTTTATTGCCACTAATTTTTTCTTACAATTAATAATTTTTATTATTAAATAAACAATTTTCTGAATATTTCTTTTTGTAATTAATTAAAAATTTTGTTTCATCATGCAGATATGACTATAATCTTGTTGTTTCGTCATGCAGATATGACTATAATCTTGATTTGTTATTTTGGTGATTTTGAATTAAATGAAAATGATTGATGAGTATAAAGATGAACGAGTGATATACGTGACGGTATTTTATTACGTGTTGACACACATGATCGACCCACCCAGTGCGAACCACGTGGCATGATTGCCGAAGCCCCTAGGAATGGTGAACACTCAACATCCAAAAGCAAAAACTGTGACGTAGCCCAAATGCTGGAAGGCTGAAGTGCAATGGTCGAGATGGTCCATACCGAAGCCCAAGATGCGGAAGCCGAACTCCAGAACATCTTTGACATCACTCCACCCCAGAGATCCGGTCTTACACAAGAATCCTCCTTCAATAATTACCGAGACATCCATCATAGAGTGCAAGTGTTTTATTTTGTCAAACATAGCAGCGGGTCTGCCAATTAATATTTTACAATGTACAATGTGTACATAAAATATTTTACAAAAAAATTAAATATACAATGTGTACATAAAATATTTTACAATTTTTATAATTATTTCTAGGGCTGAAAAATGAAACCTTCAAATCGCAAAACTGAACCGAAATCCTTTTTTTGAAATCATTGGTTTGGTTCCACGTGAATTCGTCAAAGTTTTGATTTTGAACTGAACCAAATCGTTTCGAAGTGGTTTGGTTTAGGTTTCAAATTTTGCAAACCGTTTCAAACCGCCAAACCGTTTACCCAAAAAGTTTGAAAATAAATTAGTCTAAATTTTATTTAACCCAATTAAAACTTAACACATTTCAATTAAAAAGATACATTTATATTAGACGTGATTCAATTAAACTCAAATCGACAATTATACATCTCAATTAATTAATTAATCATATACAAATATTCATGAGTCGGCATAATTGTGAATGTAATATCCTCAAATTGGGTAAAGTTTTAAACAACTAATGCTAAACCACATCTATCGGTTCTCCATTACTATTGAGTAGACAATAAAATCTAGATTTTAATTCAAACGTACACATTTCATTTCCTTCTAATCATTTTCTCAATTTTTACTCAAATTCAAGTCAGATTACCAGCATTCTTTTATTTTTTGGTAAATATTTTTATATTTTAATTTGTAGTTATATTTTTTTGTTATGATAATTGTCAATTTGTCGGTTTCCCTTAAAGTAATTCACCAATATTTAGATTTAGTAGAAGATTTGAATGATTCACAAAAAGTCATAGTATCTAAATACTATTGTATTTGAATATTTTTAATCATTTTCATTTATTAATTATTTTATATCATTTAACTATAATCAATGAATTTATGAAATATATTTTTATATTTATGAAGAAAATGAATCATGTATTACACTTGCAGATGGATACCATTAGTATCGACTAAAATTTTAAATATTTATATCATATTGTTGCATTATAGTGATTATAAGGCTTGATCAACGAAACCGTCAAATCGTAAAATCGAATCGAAACCGTTTTTTTGAAACCATTGGTTTGGTTCCACGTGGGTCCTTCAACGCTTT